TTTTTTTTTTTTTTTTTAATATTTTAATAAGGCCTAATAACAAAAAAATCCCCACGTTAGACACTTCCTACGGAAAATGTCCCTACGTTTCAATTTTATTTTTTTCATCTCTATTTTCACGTTTTATTGCGGAAAACATCATTTTCACCAATTTAAAACGTATAGATGTTTTGTACACTATAGGCAAAAGAAGGGACGTTTTGTGCTATTAGACATTTTAATAATTATTTGGACTCACTTACACTTTTTAAAATAATTAGGAGTAAGATTGTAATTTATTCTTTTTTTTTTCTTTTTTTTTTGTTTTATTTAATTGGGAGGGTATTTTGGTCATTTTACATTAAAATGGTGAAAATGACGTTTCCCGCAAAGAAGGTGGAAATGTGGGCAAAAATACCAAAAAATAAAAGGTGGAGATGTTTTTCACAATAAACTTTAAAGGTGGGGACGTTTTATGCTAATTACCCTATTTTCCTTAATTTCTATTACATTCTTTTTTATTTATGCCCCACTTTTCATATTTCTTTTCCTTTCATGTCAACTCTGCAAAACTAACATTTATTCAATTGATAAGGACTCAATTTCAAGTTTGTTGGAAATTAAACTCTTGATCAAATTTTAAGTTGCCCAAATTGGGGTATAAAATTGGACAGTTCGGCCGCTTTGGCATGATTATTCGAGCATGTTGTTAGCATGATATCATTCAATATAATGCTCACTTTAGTTAGAATACTAATCTTGAAATTTGACTATTCACTTGACTTTGATCTTTATCAATATCGAATTGGTTATTTGAGTTTGTTAAGATTTGATATTAAGGATTCGTGTATGGCCAATGTAAAATGTTGAGGATAATTCTAGCGGGATTAAATAATGTTAATGTCGACGAGAAAGTGTCATCAAGTAAATCAATTTCAGATTTTGTCGTATTTATTTAAGAAGATAATTATGTACAAAAACAATAAAATATAGGCCCCAGACAACGAAATATCTACAGTAGAACACCCGTGACGCTAATCATTCTTGTTTATATAATTTTTAAATAAGCCATGTTTTGACTAAATAAGCAAAACAATATTTTGTTTTCTTTTTTTCTATATTTTGTTTGCTTAATATTTAAATAAGAAATATTTTGATTAAATGAGTATAAGCTATATTTTGTTTGTATATACAAATTCATTTCAAAAATTTAATATTACACATCAAGTATGCGCTTATATATACATCATTTCTATTCGAAATTTTTTCATCTTGTTCATGAGCACTTACACACGCTCCTTAGGGTGCACATCTTGGACACTGAAAACACACTGACTTCTCTAAAATTGAGACGTGCGGTAGTCTAGTGCAAAAGGAAAAACTCGAATGTCAAAAGAAAAATCACAATCGAACAATTTCATGGCACACTCCTACGGCTCGTTAGCCGGTAATTTAGGGTAAATATTCTGCTTATTATATGTTCAAGGAAATGAAAATTACAACTTTCATTTAATTTCGTAGAATGCACATTGTCGAAGTATGTATATGTTAGAAGCTCGACAGCGTGCAAACATGGTTGCGAAATAAAAGATAAATCAAAACATCCATGGCTAAGCTTAAAAGGTTTATATGAGTAAATAAATGTTTATTGAGCAGTTATCAATTTACATACTATCCGCTTTATGATCATAATTTAAGCATATCTTATTTCTCACGAATTTCTTTATCGTCCCCAAGATTCGACTTAAATCTCTTTTAAGAGAAAGGTTATATGTTCAAATCCAAAGTGAAAAGTATCTAAGTTAATGATTTGGACATGAAGACTCGATTGTTACTAACCCCCCAAAATGTAACTTTTTCTTATTTAAAAGTACCAAAAGAGTAATATCCAACGTGATTTTTCTTGGATTCAACGAGTTTATTGAAGAATTAATTTATTTGTAAAATCATGCTTGACAATAATGATTGACAATGTTGATGTTGTCAAGATCTGAATTTAAAAAAACAATTTTTTGAAATGAATGAATGTATGTTGTCAAGTTTCAATTGTCAATGAAAATTATCAAATTAGATTGTATATGTAGCATGATTCTCTATTGAACACTATTATAGTAACAACAATAATGAATATTATATAGTTAATATCATATGTTTAGCCAAAAATAAGGGATCAATACATAAATCATTGTTCTAAAGATTACATTTCATAAATAACAAACTCACTAAAATATTTAAAAAATCAGGTGGTAAATAAATTTATTAAATATTAAATTATAATTTAATATACATTAATTATTTTCACCCCATGCCACCTCACAACACTACACCATCTTCCCTCCACCTCTCTATCGGAGATGGCCGTTGACTTCAGCGACTATTTCGACTCCAGCGATAGAAAAATCTCCAAAAACTGAAAACAGTTTCTCTCTCTATTCTTGATTGTAGATAAATCTCCAAAAAATTATCTGTGAGGAAATTTATTGTTAGTGACTATGCATGTGTGTCTATGTGACTATTTGTTATCAAACTTGTTATCACTGTGATTGTATGTGAGCCTCTAATTTGTAACTGTATGTAACAAATTCACTAACCTATATTATCTGTGATTAACTGTGATCAAATTTGTCTTTGATGTGGTTAACTGTGACTAAATTTGCATTCAGTATGGCTATCTATGACAAGGTCATTCTTAACCATAACCAAGTCACAACCTGTCACAATCAACAAAAAAATTGATCAATAATAGTCACAACAAACACATACTTGGTTACATGGGGTCACCACAAATAAATCTGCACACACCTTAGACTAATGTCACAATCTACCACCATCACCTCCAATGCACCACCACTACCACCTTCAACTCAAACAGAACTAATAAAAAACTACCCACACTTCATCGTTGTAGCCAGATCAAAAAAATTCGCTTGGTTCATCCTAAAACGTTCAAATACATCTTTCGTTCACCCTTCAACATAACAAAATGCTATGATACACAACAATCTTCTTAACCCACTATTCATCGTTGCAGTCAGTGCACTAATCTAAAATTTGACGCTGTTAGAATTCCATTCTCATCCAGTAGTACATTTTTTGGTTTCAAATCACAGTGTTAAACACAGATCTTAGGCACCAATGATCAGAAAATCCACAATGCCATCGTCAAAACACTACAATGTTCGAACATACCTCGCCCTGTCCCAAGCTTTCAGAACCTCCAGCCCCACATTCTAGTACGTCGAAAAAGCCCAGTCCAAAGTGAGCACTCATTTGACACCGCCACCTCTCTCCATCAACACAAATCATTGGTGCCTTGTCATGCACTGCTGAGTTGTCAAATTCACCGTCAGCAGCCTCACAACACTGCCGAGATGGATAGTCGCCGAAAACATAGAGGATGATTGTTGAGGTAGGGTTGAGTGGGTGGGAAGAGATTAATGTGTGTGTGAGAGAGAGAGAGAGTAGTAAGAGAAATTTTTTTTTAGGAGTTTTGAAAGGAATGATGCGGGGTAAGTGTATTGGGTGGGGGTTCGGGTAAGGTGAATATGTAGATAAGATTTAATTAATTTTTTATTAATTATAATTATTAAAAATTAATCACCACATGATTTGTGAAATAAAATTTAATCCCCCTATTTTCTGAAAATTAATCTTTAATGGTAGATTTCTATGTAATTTTTCCCAAAAATGATTAGATACTCAGTTCATGGGCCTGCCATTTCTAAGCATGTTTGTTTAACCGAAGTAACATTTTATTTCCGAGATTATTTGAAACTAAATTTTTATTAAGAATAATTGCTTCACGCGTATGCGAGTAACTCTACCGAAGCCAATAAAAATTTAAGGCACGTTTGAGCCAAATTTTTTAGAAAAGATTTTGTAAAAGATGATTTTTTGGGGTGAATTTATGGTTATAAAGTAAAATAAAGTTATGAAATACATACAAAATTATTTTATTAAAAAAATGTTTCTAAAATATTGTTTGACAACCATCACTTGAAAACTCTTCTTTTTACATACTTATATTTAACCTCACATTCAAGAAAATATTTTGCACGGATATCAAAAAAAATTTCCTACTTTTTAACCATATATTCTCCTAAAAATCATTATTCAAAACATTATTTTCCCAAAATTAAAGCCGTCAAACAAAACTAAATTGCACAAGAATATACGGGCCAGCTTTTTATTCAGATCACAGCTACGGAAATCTACTCGTTACCATTCAGCATGAAAACATCAGCCTTCAATACTCCAATAAAAACTTATATAGAGAATGTAAGCAGAATTCTATCACACATAAATCCTTTTCATCACACCATTCGATCTACAGACTCGTCCAAGACTTCAAGCTTCGCCAAGAAATAAATAAGTAAAGGTTGATTAAATTTCAATGCATTATAGAACAAGGCAACACGAGCTATAACTTGCACCATTGAAGTCGGAAAAAATAATAATAATAATAATAATAAAAAGAAAAAAAGTACAACAAAAACAGATTCATTTGCTTGGAAGAAGATTGTCTAGCCATAAGTTAAGAATGTCGATACATTCTCAATTATTTCCTATGGTTGAGGACTTTAAAGGTAAACAGGTACACAGAGACATCCATGAGCCGCCATCTGCACAAGAAACCTAGGGTTCTCCACCAAGCTCTACTCTTAGGTTGTCATATGGGCAGAGCTTGGGTGTCTGGTAAGAGAAAAAAAGAGAAATAGCATCAGATAGAAGCATATAATTGGTAAAAATACTTTAAAATAATGCATAAATGATTCAACAAATACGATTTTTATGAAAAAGTTGGACCGTAAGGCTTAAGAGGTGAACATTGACGGTTGCTGCAACCTGTGAACGCACCAGCTCGGAAGATGATGTACAGTAAAATAATTCATCAAAATATATCTTTCACTTCATTTTTTTCGCAAGCTGCCTTGTAGATATTGCAACCAAATTCAACACTTAGTGGTAGTTCCATTGTTGAGTTATCAACATCACATTAAAATTGAAGTCAACTACATGGATTTTTTTTACAGGTCAACTAAATGGATTTTTTTCGTCACTATGCTTGATATATCATGACATCTAATGGAACATCCAATGCTCCTTCACAACCACATCAAGCAATGTTGATTTTAGTCTTTCTTTCTTCTAACTTGATGTGCTTGGATAACAACACGTTTGTGAATATGAATTTCTTCAGGTCTATGCAGTACATGCCCCAACCTCCTAAGTTGTTCTTCCATTAGCTTACTGCAAATTGGTGATACGTCCATTGGTTGTCAGCTATCCTCATTTCCTTTTTATCTTATCCATTCTAGTATGGCCGCACACCTATCTTAACATCTTTATCTCTATTGCTTTCATCTTATGGAAATTTTTTCCCTTAAAAGGCAAAAAACTGAGTATCATAAAGCATAATTAATCTAATATCGCTCATGTAAAATTTATCACCTGTTTGGTTTTGCTAAAAAATAAGATTTTTAGTTGATTTTGGGGGAAAAAATATATAATAATTATTATTGTTGAAATGTGGGGCTGAAAAGTTATAAAAGTTGCGGGTCCCATGAATTGTGTGATAGAAAGTGTGTTTGGGGAAAGAATAACATATATAAAGTACTACAGATTCAAGTAAACCCCAGCTATGGCTATGTTCTACATTTCAAGCCAGCTGAAGTGATTGGATTCTTTCTTTAACAAACAATGCCATCAAACAGAAACAGTATATCAAGCATATTATAATTGCTAAAGTCAAGAAAAATATTGAATAACAAACAAAATGCAGATTGACACCCAAGGCATTAACTCTGTACGAGGAAATGGGCCAATAAACCAAACAGAGAATCACAAATTAACTAAGATCGAGAATATTCTTCCATAAATTGGATTTGAAGTATGGTTAAAATTAGAACGTGAGAAGTTAGAATTCACATGATTTCTTTTCTTAAAATCATAATCTATAATCTTGGCCAGGAAAATTGGAGGATATATATACAATCTCAGTTAGGACCAAGAAGCCACATGCTAATGCATGACAAACAAAACTACTACTTTCTACTTCTCGTATATTAAAGTTGTCATATAGCTAGCAATGTTCATGTGCCAACTCTAAATTTGGAGTATTACTGGGCCATGCTCATAAATTAAGTACCTGCATTCAATACTTTCATGGTGAGGGTATCAACAAAAATGTAAGAGGGAGCAGTTACAATAGTGATCTAGCAGGAGTGGTACTAGAGAATTTTCCATTACTATAAGCTTGCATCACGATGTGCTTTAAATCCATATCTTTCCACTTCAGTCTAGGATGAGCTATTAGATATATTTAAAATAGATCTTTCTAGCCTCATTCAACCTATACCACTAAGCTGCACATCCAATTGAGAAGCAATTCTACATCACTATTCCAAAAAAAATAGGAACCATTAATTGATATCTTTTGCTATAATCTTTGATAATCATGTTCATAATGAAAAGACTCATATTGTGTTGACATTCAGTCTGTTACAATAAGTTCATTTTAGCTCCATTGACGAATCAAATTCTGGATAGGAACAACTGCAAACTACAGTTTTGTGTTCGCACAATTACTTGTTGAGCAGACCTGAATGTATCTTTTCCATGGGAAATAGGAAGTGGATGTTATATAAGATTTAGTTGATATGGTTAGGCTATAAGAATTGTTAGTCTCAAACACTTCATCAATATGACTAATGAGGCAGTTTGGCAGCGTCTATTAATTTCGAATTGTGTTTTCAAATCAGATCAGCCTGTTGATTAAGATATACCGAGTTAAAATATTCTACATGACAACCATTAGACCAAGTTTACTTAGTGATATTGAGCGTTAGGTCATTAAAGAGCAAATTATCTATAAGACAAACATAAGTAAAAGTGAGAATGTTAAGTGTGAAAACTAGAATAGATAAAGTATGAAACAAGGCTATATGGCACCCAGTGACAGTGAACCATTTGAGATAAATTAAGGAAAAGGCGTCTTAAATAATTGGGCTCTTCCTGACCTAAAAATATTCTAATTTCATGAAGTGATGCAGTCTCACATTAATGAGAAATGGACCAGAACAAACATGGCATTAGGTCTCTGCAGATAATCTGATTTCCTCGGACCTTTTAGTAGAGGCAGCTCCAGATCAAATGAAATGGTTAAAAAGAACTCATTTAAACCAGCCCCAAATTCACTGCAAATAACAGTTAGTGGCTATTAATGTTGCTTTCTGTTCTATAACAGCAATTTTCATGCTCTCCACGGTTGTGATAAAAAATTTATGTCATCCCTCAAAAAGTCAACATCTTCCCCAATGGTATCGTTGTCCTTTGATAAGGCTTCAGATTGTTTAAGAACATTCAATGGTTGTGACCATGATACTACAAATTTTCAAAAGAAAAATAAAAAGAAACAAACAGTATCTTTTTCTCTGGTGCTAAACTATTAGGACAAGTATGTAATGAAATATTCAACCGCTATACACAGCCAAGAGAAAAATTTTTAGTCTATACTTTCAGAACATACATAGCAGCAATGAAACTTACATCTCTTAAAACCAAAACATATTTCCCCTGTGTTTGATTAGCTTTAAACAAAATACATAAACAATATTTTATGAATTCCATTAAAATTAATTGAACAAAGATTAAAATTTGAAAGATGGATTACTGAACATAAGAAACAGATATTGACATTAGCATGGCAAAGGGTGTATATATATATATCAAGAATATGCAAAACCCAGAAAAGAGTGAGGTGATCAAAATTGTTATTTTAGAAATTTTCATTCCTTTATCTCTGGTACATATTTTGTATTCTGAAATGCACAGCGCTTCCAACTTTAAATTCTAGATGTCAGACAATCACCAGCAATTCAAATCATGCCAATTTCAAGTTCACCATAATATCTGGTGATCAATATTCGTTCGGATCTACATCAGCTTCATAAAGTGTTAAATTGCTACTATGTGTGTCAATATGGAAAGGCAATATAACCCCATAAAAAATACTTTCTTTTTGCAGGTTTGTCCTTAAAACACTAGATTAGAATCTTTAATACCAAGTGTCACTAAATCATATGTAGTTCTTTGATATGACAGAAAACTACATATAGTCCTATTTCTTTGATACTAACATCAATTCAAACTCAAAACATTTCATTCATAAAAAAACTCAATTTCCAATAAAAGATCTCAACATTCTCTAAGTATGCCAGGGTGTTAACGTAAACATTAAAGTCATAAAAATCAAATCACTGTAGAAACAAGAATTAAAATATGGATCAGCATTTGAGACTTACAAATGGGATTTTGGATGCCTTGTCATTCCACACAGCTAAGAGCCCAAGTGATGCAAAAAATCCCAACCCTCCACACAACCAAGCCAATGCTTCATACTATTTACACAAGTAAATTACAGTTACTAATAGTTCAACAAAAAACCCTCGATTTATTTTACAAACGCACAAGTACAGAAAAGCAGAAATTGTAAGAGCACGTGAAATCTGACCTTCCCAACAGTATCAGCAATACGATCTATACAAGGCTCTGGAAATGCAGTCCCATTATCCCAAACAAGCTCATCATTCACAGGAAGCTGTAATACAACAGTAATAAATTTTTAGAAAAATAGGGTTCTTCCCATTTGGTTTTAATCTTCAAAAATAAAATTAAAGTTCAATTAACAGGTTATATATATAGAAATAATTTTGGGGCAGGGGTAGGGAGAGAATGATACGGGTTTGTCGGGAACGATGTGTTTGCCGACGGGTAGGCCCATGCCGGAGCGTTGGCGGAGAGAGGTGGCGACAGAGCGGGCAGCGATACCGCTCCCGCCCATGATTCGTGATGCCACATGGCTAAGTCTTCCTGCCATTTTCGATTTTTTTTCGTAGTCGCAGTGATGAAAACCTTCTTTGAGTGTGAATGATGGAACTTTGATGCCAGTCGCTGATTTACATGGGCAAAACCTCGAACACAACAAAGACAAACTTTTTGCGTGTACTGATTAGCAATATTTTTACCTAAATTTCTACATTCATATTATTTGATTTGTTATAAAAGAAAAGAACAGATAAAAGTCAATAGACTTATATGTATTTTATTATAAATTAAAGTTCTGTATTTATAGGGTATAATTAGGGATACAATATTAATTATTTCTAGGACTACAAAGTACAAAGGTATAATTTTTATTCATCTCTAAACCTTAATAAATTTTCTTTTTACAACACTCTTTCTTGAATGACACATTACAAAATATCTGTCTTATTAAAACTTTGTTTGATAAAAACTCAATGGAAAAAAAATCAAAACAAAAGAAAAAAAGTACAGTTATTTTAGAGTACTAAAAATAAATGCTGTCTCATTAAAACCTTGATAGGAAAACCCAGGTGGACAAAACTTAAACGAAAGAAAAAGAGTACAGTTACTCCCCATGATATTGATCGCTGAAAATTTTTGAGTCGACGCATTCCAATCTCATGAACTAATTTTTTGAATGTAGATGTTGGCAGTGTTTTTGTGAATAAATCGGTCACATTGTCACTTGAGCGAATTTGTTGAATATCGATGTCACCATTCTTTTGAAGCACGTGTGTATGAATTTTTTTTGGAGAAATATGTTTCGTCATGTCACCTTTGATATAACTTCTTATGAGCTATGCAATATAAGCTGCATTATTTTCATACAAAATTATTGGACTATCATTTATTTAAGTTAACCCGCATGATACTTGGATATAATGGATCATGTTTCTCAACTATACACATTTTCGACCTACTTTATGGATTGCAATAATTTCAGAATGATTTGAAGATGTTGCTGTCAAGGATTGCTTTACAGATCTCCATGATATAGCAGTTCCACTACGTGTAAACACATAACCTGTTTGTGATTTAGTTTTATGTGGGTCAGAAAGGTAACCTGCATCCGCATATCCCATTAAAGCAGATCCCGACTTTTGAGAATAAAATAATCCCAAATCAATAGTACCCTACAGAAAAAGCTATGTCTGGTCTAGTGCAATTTGCAAAATAAGTTAATGTTCCAATTGCACTACAGGACCAAGAACTTTTTCTTTATCTTCAAGTGGACGAAAATTATCTTTTTTCACATCAAGTGATCGAACAACCATAAGTTATGCCAATGAATGTACATTATCCATATAAAAACGTTTTAAAACTTTTTTTGTATACGTAGATTGGTGAACAAATAATCCATCTACAAAATGCTCAATCTGCAATCTAAAACAAAATTTAGTTTTTCCCAAATCCTTCATCTCAAATTTATTTTTCAAATAATCAGCTTTTTTGTTGAGCTCTTCGAGAGTTCCAATTAAATTTAAATCATCAACATAAATTATTACAATTGTAAATCCACTATTTGTTTTCTTTAAGAAAACACATGGGCAGACATCGTTATTTATATAACCTTCATTCAACAAATATTCGCTAAGACGATTATATAACATACGTTCGGATTGTTTTAATCCATATAATGATATTTACAATTTAATTAAGAATATGGTACTCAGGCATGTATCGTTTGTTCTTGACACCTTAAGTCCTTTAAGGACTTTCATATATATGTCATTATCAAGTAAACCATACAAATATGCAGTTACTACATCCATAAGGCGCATATTAAGTTTTTGTAACACTATCAAACTAATTGAGAATCTAAAAGTGATGGTGTCAATTACGGAAAAATATGTTTCGTCATAATCAATTCCTGATTTTTGTGAGAAACTTTGAGCTACTAGTCAAGTTTTGTACCTTATAATTTCATTATTTTCATTCTTCTTTCGTACAAAGACCCGCTTGTATCCAACATAGATTATATTTTCAGGTGTTCGAATTACATGTCCAAACACTTTTCGTTTCTCCAAATAATTCAATTCGACTGCATGACTTCTTTCTATTTTGGTCAATCATTTTTATTTTGACAGTCTTTACCTGACTATGGTTCAGGATCCTCATTCTACATAATATTAAGAGCCACATTAAAGCCGAAATTATTGTCTGTTACAACATTATCCTGTTCCTATAATTTATGAGATAACAAATAATTTATTGAAATCTCATTATTTTCGGACACTTGTAATTCTTCAGAAACCACATCTTCAATATTTGATTGATCAATTTTTTCTAATGTTACTTTTTCTGAAATTTTTGGTTGATTTTTCTCTTGTACTTTTCTTTTTCGAGGTACGGAGTCTTTTGAATTAACTAGTCGATCACGCTTCTGGCGTATTTGAGATTAATTTGCTACTGCAAATTGTCCTATAGGGATATCAATTTTTGCTGAAATATTTTTTGCTGGTATATATGACTTTGTCACTTTTCTTGTGTCAACAAATGCATCAGGTAATTGATTTGCAACTCTTTGCAAATGAATGATTTTTTAACATTTTGCGCACATTGATTACTACACGGATCAAAATGAGATAGAGTTGTTTCATTCCAAAAAATTTTACTTTATTTTTTTGGATGTAGTTTTTCCCCTCCCAAAGTTGGAAAAGTGATTTAATCAAAATGACAGTCTGCAAAACGTGCAGTATATAAATCACCCGTTAAAGGTTCAAGATACCCAATAATTGATGGTGAATCAAAACCCACATAAATCCCAGGTCTTCATTGAGAACCCATTTTAGTACATTGTGGGGGTGAAATAGGGATTTGAACTGCACAACTAAAAATCCGTAAGTGAGAAATATCATGTTCATGACCAAATGCCAGTTGCAAAGGTGAATATTGATAATAGGCAGTTGGTCTAATACGAACCAATGATGCAACATGTAATATAACATGACTCCAAATAGAAGCTGAGAGTTTTGTTTTCATTAGTAATGGTCTAGCAATAAGTTGTAAACGTTTAATAAATGACTCTGCCAAACCATTTTGTGTGTGGACATGCACAACTAAATGTTCAATTACAATCCCGATTGACATACAGTAATCATCGAATGCTTGTGATCTAAATTCAGCAGCATTGTCAAGGAGAATAATTTTAATTGAGTAATCGGGAAATTGCGCTTATAATTTTATAATTTGAGCAAATAGTTTAGAAAAAGCCACATTCATAGTGAAAAGTAGACAAACATGTGACTATCTAGTAGAAGAATCAACTAATACCATAAAATAATGAAATGATCCACATGGTGGGTGTATTGGCACACATATATCTCCATGAATTCTTTCCAAGAATGTTGGAGATTCAATATTGACCTTTGTAGTTGAAGGTTTAACGACTAACTTGCCTTACGAACAAACTACACGTGGATAATCATTAAGTAAAAGAATCTTCTGATTCTTTAAAGGATGTCCACGTGAGTTTTTTATTATTCGACGTATCATTATAACTCCTGAATGTCCAAGTCGATCATGCCAAAGTATAAAAGTTTTCGGATCAACGAACTTCTGGTTCGTGACATTATTTGATTCAACCATTTTTATAAATATATAATACATGCCAGATGGGAGTGTATAAAATTTTTCTTTTATCTATTTTTGACCAGATATGAAAGAAATTATGTAAAGATATTCAACACTATTTTCTTGTGTCGTCTCAATATGATATCCATAGCAACGGATATCTTTAAAACTTAGAAAATTTCTCCTGGATTTGCTAGAATAAAGTGTATTGTCAATATATATAATTTTGTATTATTTAGTAAAATAATACAAGCTCTTCCAAAGTTTTCAACGATATTCGATGCGTCTGATATTGTATTGACATTATTCTCTTTTAATGTTAAATCCAAAAAAAAAAATTTTATCTTGAAGAATAGTATGTGTAGCTGCACTATCAATCAAGCAGCTGTCTTGACAATCTATCATGAATCTATCAATATAACAAAATAAATATATTTTAAAAAAACTTGAATTTAAATTTAAAAGGGTAAACATAATTAATACTATGAAATTAACGATACATAATAAAGTTCAAAATTTTTGCGAAAAGTAAAAACATATTCCAACTAAATTTATGAAATAAAGAGAAATACTAGAAACATAAAAAAATAATAAACTAATCTATATTTTCCATCATACCATCACCAATCAAATTATCAATATTTTCATTTGAATCGGTAAAAAAATCGGAGACATTGAAATGGATCACATCAATTGGGCTATCATAGTCAGTAATTTGTCCCCACTTTTCCCTTTCCCTTGATTGATTTTTGATAGAGATCCACAAGATATTTTGTCGTACGACAGGTACGTGTCCAATGCTTTTTCATTCTACATCTAAAGCAACTTTCTTCGTGTACTTTTTTGGATGTGCTATTTTCGTTTGTTTTGTACCTTTTGAAATCGTAACCTTATTGTTAATAATTTTGTTGATTATTTTGTCCATGGTTTGTTCCCCGACGACTGCGTCCATGCCCACGTTCACGTGCTTGTCTTGATATTGCATTTGCTTCAGGCAATGCAGTACCATTTGCTTCAGTCAATGATGCAGAACCAGTTGAGCGTAACTCGTGATTTTTCATCAGCAATTCATTATTCTGTTCAGCAACAAGCAGACAAGATATAAGTTCTGAGTACTTTTTGAAACCACGCTCGCGATATTGTTGTTGCAGGAGTACATTCGAGGCGTGAAAGGTGGATATTTTGTTTTTCCAACATGTCTTCATCAGTGATCTTTTCTCCACCAATGTCAATTTTAAACATAATCTAAACAGTTCAGAATTGTACGCACTAACAGTTTTGAAGTCTTGCAAACGAAGATGCATCCCCTCATAGCAGGCTTTAGGAAGGACTATAGTCGTCTGATGATAAAATCTCTCAGTTAATTTTTTTTCAAAGAACCTGTGGATCTTTTTCAGTGAGGAATTCAATTTTCAGTTCATCGTGAAGATGATGAAGAAGGAAGATGAATGCTTTTGCACGATCCTGCAGGGATTCTTTGTATCCTTTTTTTATTGTCTCTCCCAAATCTTTTGAGACAAGATAGATGTTAGCATCAAGTACCCATGATGGATAGTTTTTCCAGAGATGTCAAGTATAGTAAACTCAAGTTTTGT